AAGGCACTGTACACGTTCTTATTGAGTCCCCACAACAACCTAATGAGATATGAATTAACATCCCCCATTTACAGAAATTGTGACTGAGGAGTAATTTTCTGTAAAACAGATCGTTAGTGAATGTCTGAGAGAATAGGAGAGAGATTTGAGGCGGCTTGTAGGCTCAAGCTCTGAATCCAGACAAATCAACATCAGAGGCCATATTTCTCATCAATATCTCATGCTGCTTTTATGCAGAAAATTTACATTATCCTAATACCCCTCTGATCCTATAGTTGTCTCATCTTAAAGACAATCACATGCTATTTTCTAAAATCTTACACTACAGTTTCATAAATTTATAAGGTTAAAAGGAACATCTATTATAGAAATGTCCATTCTACTTTCCATAAACAAGACCTATCATTAAAAATACTCCAGAGAGCTGAAACCTGTTTGGCTCAGTGGTAGAGCGTCGGTCTGCGGACTGAAAGGTCCCAGGTTCGATTCGGTGGGGGCATGTACATTGGTTGCGGGCACATCCCCAATAGAGGGTGTGCAAGAGGCAGCTGGTTGATGTTTCTCTCTCATTGACGTTTCTAGCTTTCTATCTCTTTCCCTTCCTCCTCTCTGTAAAATATCAATAAAATATATTTTAAAAAAAATACTCCAGAGAGAAGAGCAGTTGAGATCTTGCTCTTGCCACATGTTGCCAGTTTGGCTCAAATAAATTCATAAAAATTAAAAAAAAATTTCCAGAGAGATGTATCCATGTGGCAGAGATAGCTGTCCACTAATTCAGGTTTCTCTTCTATAGTATAAAGTAGTACCTGGAACTCAGACAGGGATTGTTATCCAGACCCCTTGCATCTAGGTATGTAGTTCTTGCTAATGTTGTATTTGCAGAAGTAATATGTGGCACGTATCAAGTAAGAATTTTAAGAAACTCCCCATGCTCCCATTTCCTCCGGTTCCCAGAAATCAGCTTTATTCAGTAGAAATATTCATTTGGACTGTTAGGAAGATAACAAATACACCTTTATTATGTGAAGCTGCTCAAATTTTAGTATGGATTTGTTGCAGCTAAAGCATTTATCTAAAAAATCCCTAAGTCCATAACTTCCCCTTTACTGATATATTCTGAGGCATCAAGTCCTTAACATTCAAAGAGAACAAAAATCCTGTAAAGGGAATGAAGCTACTAAAATAAGAATGAAGCATTTTTTTTTAATTTTAATTTTTTGTAGGCATTCTCACCATTCCTAATATTAAAATTACTAGACGCCTAGTGCATGAAATTCACCTAGGATCCCGGTGATCAGGGCTAATTGGGGCCTTCCAGCTGTTCCACACTGCTCCTGGTCAAACTCCCGAGGGTATAATTTGCACATTAGGCTTTTATATACCTAGATGTTTTCTTGCTTAAAGCATCTTGTCATTTTTACATTTATTTCTGTAACATACTGTCATTGGTTGAATTGGATCCCCCAAAGAGATTTGTTGAAGTTCTAATTTCTACTACCTGAGAATGTGATCTTATTTGGAAAGAGGTCATAATGGATTGGGTGGGCCTTGATTCAATGATGTAACATTTTAGGAGGAAAATCTGGGTACTCAGTAATGCTCAGACTGTTGAATACATAGGGAAGACCACCATGTGGAGATGGAGACAGATTGCAGTGAATGCCAAGGATTGTAGCAACCACCAGAATCCACAACAGAAAAATGGGGGCAAAGTTCTCTGAGAGTCCAAGCGGGAACCAGTCCTGCTGCCACCTTGATTTCAGACTCCTGGCTCCCATACCTGAGACAGTAACTTTCTGTTGTTTTAAGCCATCCACTTGTGGTATTTTGTTATGGTTCTGAAATGTGCTTTTCAATGAGAAAGAAAAAACATTAACTATTGTGGAATTCTTTCTCAGGTCTCAACATTCACCCGTAAGTCACAGGTTCTAGCAAAAGCCCAACATAAATGACCAACGTGCCCTTTTTTTTTTTTTTTTCAAGTTTCCTCCTTTTTAAAAAGTTAAAACTTCGATTTTTATAAAGCAGGGACTCTAGCCACATGCATTACTCAATTTTCCCTGAGCGAAGGAGATTCTACAATGCAAATTTATCTTCCAGGGAGAGAGTATAGCAAGTGGTGGCAGCTTTCGCTATTACCAGGAGCCTCGCGGGTGGTGTTGACCTTTAATAAAGGCCGTTGCCTCAGCCATTGCTATGAAGATTCCTGTCCTCCTCAGATGATTAGCTCCGGCTGAAGCTGAGAGAAAATTAAGAGGCTTCACGCGCCTTGCTCACTCTGTATTTCACCTGCTACTTGACATTCTCCTTGGGGAAAAGACAGAATGAAATACAGACTGGAACCTGTGAGCAGAAAAAAAAAAAAAGAGATTTTTCTTCACTGAAAGACCCTCGTTCACGGAGAAGCACACCTCCGACGGGGGAGGTCTTCGCAAAAACTCCCTCTTCGGTTTCCTCGGCTTCCGAGGCAAAAACAGAGCACTGCGCAGGCGCGCGGGCCTCCGAGTCCGGGGAGGATTCCGGCGGCGCAGGCGCGCGAGGCGGGAAGTGGGCGGGCCCGCGCGCATGCTCCGTGGCTCACTTCCGGCGGCCCCTCCCCCCTTCCTCCTCCTCCCACGCCTCGCCACTTCCCCCTCCCCCCCTCTCCCTTCTCCCATCCTCTCCCCGAACTCACTCCCCACCCTTCGCGCTCTCCGCCCCGCTCGCTCGCTCGCTCGACTCCAGCCCTTCCCCTCCCGCTCCATCCGGGGTGCTGACGGCTGTTTCTGGACTGGCCGTCGGCGGCGGCGGCCGCTTTCCTTAAGAGGAACCCGGTAAAGTTTCCCAGGAGCCGGGAGGGGCGCCGCGAGCGGCCGCACCGACACCGGAGGAGCCCTGCATGGTGGTTGGTATTCGGCGCCACGGGGTTAAAGGAGGAGGAGGTCCAGGAGCCGGAGACCTGCCTCAGCTGCCCGCCGCCTCGCTGCCGCCTGTCTGGGGAGGCGCCGCCCTCCGGGGCCCTGAGCTTCCCCCGCCTGGAGCGGTCGGTCGGGTGAGTCGTTGCCCGGGTGGGTTCGGGGGCGTGTGACGGCATTAGGGGCCGGGGCCGGCCGGCGGGGCTGGGCGGATCCAGGCCGGCGGGGCGCAGGGTGCTTTCTCAGCGCCTCCTCGTGGTGGGGGGCGGGGAGCGAGGGCAGGGTCGCGGCTCCCCGGCAGCATGGGGCCCGGCATGTGGCACCTCGCGGGGGAAGGGCCCCCTCGGACCCAAGGCCGCCGAGGTGCCGAGCCTCGACCGCCTGTCTCTGCGGCTTGTGCACAGGGCGGGCGGCTGCCGTAGGGAACCGGGCGGCCCGCGAGGTTGGGTATGTGCAGTCGGTTCTCTCTCCCCTGACTCCCCTCCCCCGGGTCTCCCCTTGAAGTGATCGGAGTGGATGTGGAGGACATAGGATGGGAATAAAAGCTGCTCCTCGTTCCCCTACCTGTTGCTGGCCGGAGGACGCCTTTGGATACCCCTTCAGACTTTATTATTTTTTTAAAGGATGGTTAAAGCCTCGTGCGCTGCAATCAAGGGGGTATTATTTTCCTGTCCTCTCTTCTTAACATGAAAACAAAAAAATTTTTCCCCCCGAGGAAACAATGCAGAGCTCTCGGGAACGATCGAGTTCTGATGTTCCAAAAGAATGAAACCCACCCTCTGTGAATGGATGGGGGGGCCATGGGGTGGGACAGCAGCCTCGGCACTTGGTAGCCCGTACGTCGTAGGAAAGTTGGGTTTTGAAACTTGTCAGGTTCCGTGTAATAATGGACGTGGGTCACTACCACGAGAATAAGGCTGACTTCCCGGAATTGTGTTATTTTAGGAATGCGATGTGCTTTAAAGACCCGGGTCGATTTAGATGAAGTGTGGACTCTGTTCTCAGTGTCTTGACAAACGAAGGAATACTGAAATGTGCTGGAAAGTTCTACCGATTTCGCCACCAAACTATCAATGGCCCAGCCCCCTTCCCCCCCCCCTTTTTGCGGGGGGGGGGGGGGGAAAGTCAGCAGTGCTGGAGTTACTTGCAGGTTTTTTTTTGTCTTTTGTTTCCCCATCCTCATGTAATTGTCACAGAGGTATAGATAGATGTTGATTGCCCAGGGGAAATATTTTTTTCAGTCTCGGTTAACCACTCATAATAGACAATGTTGAATTTGGGGGAGAATCTTGATATTAAACTGCGTACTTTCTTTTGTGAGTATTCTCATTACGTCCATTGATTTAGTTTTAAAATTTAAAGTTGTAGTGAGGTCGGAGTGTTACTATTTTTATTTTTTTATTTTTATAAGTATGATCTTTGGAGGCGATTGCCTTAAGGTTCCCTGGCAAGAGAACGATTTTCTCTAGGGCCTCAACACTGGCGTAATTGGAAGTCGTTTAAATTGTGGGAAATTTAAAGTTTCCATTATTGGTTTTCTGTTACAGATAAGAACTTCAGTTTTCTGTTGAGTGGAGGTAGGTATTAGAAGGTGTAATTATGCTGTGACTTGAGGGAGATTTCAGGGTTTTATGTTTCTGAAGTTGGCTACGTTTTTCACTGTAATTTTCTTGATTGTTGAGACAGTGAGTGGATGTCTTATTTCTTCCATTGAAATTATTTAAAGCAAAAAGGAGAAAAGGATTCATTTATCAAGATACTTAATGTTTGTAGTAGAGGATTACAAGATAAAGTAAAAACGAAATGTTTAAACTTTTACAGAGACTGAGGGGGAGAGCTAAATAATTCTGTAGCAAATATTTTAAAAATACAACCGATTGGTTTTTGAAACTGAATGATACTTATATGTAGCATATTGTGAGATTTAATGTTTACTATGTAATGATTATTGTAGCATTGCAATTGAAAGAGCAACAATACATATTTCCTTTGAAGTCATCTTAACTTTGTTTCTATTTCCTCAGCCATAGGGATACCTCCAACTTTCCAGTGTTTCAGAAGGGAGTTTTTTATTGAAACTGGAAGACCTAAAGAATTACAAACATGTTGTGCTGGGGAAATGCATCTTTTGGACAGCTAGGTTTGGGTGGAATTGATGAAGAAGTTGTATTAGAGCCCAGAAAAAGTGACTTTTTCATAAACAAAAAAGTCCGAGATGTAGGATGTGGACTCAGACATACTGTATTTGTTCTGGACGATGGAACAGTATACACATGTGGATGCAATGATCTGGGACAGCTAGGTCATGAAAAATCCAGAAAGAAACCAGGTAAGTTGAAAATTTGTTTATTATTTCTAACAATTATATCATTTAAATTTGACATGTCAAATAATTTCTCTAGTCCTAGACCCATATATTTTGTCAAACTTTAAAAGCAAACCAGGATTTAAATAGATTCTTTATAGTATTTACATACTCTTAAATGCTATATTTTGTGGTTTCCTTTTTTAACTCCTACTGTTATAAAACCTTATTGTATGAAGCTTTGTTTCAGAACGTAATTGTGGCGATGTAACCAAATAGAGAAAAATCATTGTTTATATTGGCTACATTGTTTAAGATTTTTGATACAGAGTATATAGTATGCAGGTCTTTTTAAACAAGTACTATCAGTGACCTTGGGCAGATTTTAAATGCATAATTGTTTTTCATAATTAGAAAAATATTGATATGAAAGCATTTTACTTTCCTAAAATATGTCTTCTATTTTTCTCCCTGTTGTAATATTTTAAATATCTTTATTCTCCTAATCTAGCACCACTAGCTACTAAAAGTTTTGTGACTCAGATGTTCTGATTTTGTAGTAGACATACAAACAAATTTTAAAATAATTGCAGGGTAATGAGAATTTTGAGGAATCTGGTCACGTTTCCCTGGGAATACATATTTTCAAATCAAGTATCACCACACTTAGAAATATAAATATCACTGTTATGTGAATTTTTGGTTTTAATTATAACAACAAAATAACTCAAGGTGGTAAATTCAGATAAAACTATAGCTGTATTTAGTTTTCTTCTTTTAACTTCAACAACATGGCAGTTAAGTATATTTTCTGTGGCTGTTTTTTTCTTTACAACTTCATTATTTAAGAGGTTTCTAGTGTTTATTTTTGAGAGGTTAGTGTAGGTATATTAAAGCATTAAATTAAGGCATGTTATTCATCTTTGACACCATCTTACCACCATGAAACCTTCACTATTCTACTTGTAAATGCTGTATGGTTTTCATCCTTAACTGTTACAGTCTTACTCTCTTTTCTTCTGCCTTAATTTGTAATATAATTATTTTGAATGAATGATAGTAGAGCTTATTAATAAAGTAGGTTTAATTATTGCAGAACTCAAGGTAAATGGCAACTTTCTTATATGTACTTTATCTCACTAAAAATATTTTATGGAATCTTACCAAATTTTCATAATATTAGGCATGGAAGTTATGCTGGTAGATGTGAACGGGAATTTACTGATAATTATTTATCACTGCTAGAGACAGATAAATCCTTTATATTTTGCCTAGATTGGAATGCTGCCTCAGGTTGAAATTTTTCATAGTATGGGGCTAATGCTATTCTTGTATTTAACATGCCCCACAGAAATAACTAAACATATCTCCGTATTGTTTTAGTAATTTCTGAGAGGTTATCAAGGCAAGTAGAAAGTATAAAGCCAGCAGATGGAAATTGCCAATATATTTACTGAAATTTATTATGCTTTTAAAATTTTAAATGTTAATTAAATAAACACCAATAGTGTCCAGGACAGGGGTAGACACTGCACAAATAGTATAATGATTATATTGCCTGTAGCAGCTTTTAACTCTATAGGTAAGATTCTGAGAAACTTAGTAACTAGCTAAAAGTTTGTGGTCATGCTGACATTGTGATGATTGCATTGTGACATTTAATCACCCTGTTAATTCATCCTGGAAGCATTATTTGGCAATATAAGTTTGGGAGGATGGGTTTACCTAACATATGATATCTCTTTAGGATTGTCTCATTGTCCAGTGTACATCACATGCTATAGAGAAATAAAAGGCATGAACTTTGTCTTAAACATTTTAGAGCTTGGGTTGGGAGTTAAGGCACACATAAATGAAATAACTGGAGAGAATTGAAATTTGACATGATGTGATACCTGCTTTGAATCTAGGAAATTTAAATGATGGAAAATGTCATTGTGAGTTAGAATTAAAGATTTCTGGCAGACAATGCAATCTTAAGTTCAATTCAATTATTGATAACATAAATAGCCAGAAAATAAATCTGGAGCTTAGAATAACTTAATTTTTTAAGGGCGGGATCCTAAATTCTGAGAAAAGCTTTTTATTACCAGAAGTTAAGTTTCAATGATATATTGAAGTGTACTTAGGTTACAGAGGTAATAGAAAGTAAAGGACAAAGAAAGGTGGTTGAGTCTGGTAGGAACTTCTTTTGTTTTTATTGATTTTAGCTATAGAGGAAGGGATATATATATAGAGAAACATTAATTGGCTGCTTCCTGCACACCCCCACTGGGGATTGAGCCAGAAACCCCGTCACGTGCCCTGATCAGAATTGAACCCAGGACCTACCTATTGGTTCATGGGTGGATGCTCAACCACTGAGCCACATGGGCTGATAGGGACTTTTAACCACAGTTTTGACTTAAGGTACTTGAGTGGAAAATTTTAATTTATTTAACCAAAATTATTTCCCTTTGGAATAATTTCTTAAAGATTTAAATGTGTGCCTTCTCCAACCCTTTTTAAAATTTGTGGGTTTGAGGACTGAATTAGAACATACGTTCTTATTTAATTGGTTTTAAAGTCTTCTGGTAATTGAGTGAATCTGGTTGAATTTCTAAGACCATGTTATAAATTATAAACATAGTACCTCTTCAACAGAACTTTAAATGCGTGTGGAAGGAGCTAAGAATTGTGTGTGGTTGTTGTTTTTTTCTTTTACAGAGGCTGGCTTTGTAACTATACTAAGTATTCTGTAATAAGGAGGAAGGTGGTCTCATTCATTAGGTTAAGCTATTGTTGAGAATCATGATAATCAACTGGAGGACTCGGCCTTACAGTGTAGCTAAATGGAACTGATCTATGGTCTACCTGGAGAAGTTTCCATTTATACTTTTTAGAAACCACAGAGGAAAGTTTCACTGATTATTCTTGCATACCAAGAGTGCAGATTATGCCCATGATTCAACTCCCTTCTCTTGCATATGTAATACTCCTTTCTATCATTACTAGCTCTTTCTCATTTAATTCCTTAGAAGTGAACATCTATTTTACTTTCATGTAGAGTCAAGACTTGGTTCTTTAAATTTCCCATCTTGAACAATTCAGTTCTCTACCAAGTTATTCAGGGAAAAAAATGTCTCTTATCGAACAAAATCTTGGTTCTCAATCTGACAACTCTTTCATGCTGATAAATCAGCATGACAAAAAAGCATCTCAGGCCACAAAGGAGAGAATGCACAAGTATGAATCAGCTACGGCTAAACCTTAGCTTGTTAACATCTCAGGAAATTATGCTAGAATATTGTTTTGTTTGGGGTGTGTGTGCCTTTGCTTGTTTACTTTTTTGTTATGGTTGCTGATGAAATGCACAGATCAGCACAATGTTAAAATATAAAGGAGCCTTCAAGAGTGCTAATGTTGTTAAGCATGTGAAAGATACAGTGATTACAGGCAATTGAAAAACTGTTGTTTATTTGGATAAACAAAAGATGGTGACAGCATTTTAGAGGCAGTGATATGTGAAAAAGCAAAGATGCTGCATTCTGACTTCCTGAAAGATACCCCTGGAAGGAGAGCTGAAAGGGATTTGTTTAAGGCTACCAGGGTGCCTTGATAAAAAAAAGGAAGTGTTTGTTTATACATTAAACAGAACATTAGACTTGTATTGTTTGTAAGATAAGTTAAAACGGAATCACTTGGAGGTCTGGAATGAGTGAATTCAATTTAGATTATTTTTAATGGGGGAAAATGATTCCGTTTTTGAACAGATCACTTCTCGAAAACCCTTCCATGTAACAAATTAAGTTCGAGAATCGAGGTTCCCCTGTATGCATCTTTCTTTCATAAGAATTATTTTAACTTTTTAATTTTTTTAGCTAATAGCTCTCAGTTTTTTTAATTCACAGCTAACAAGTAAATATGTTACACTTAAGTATGCTAGGCCAGTGCAACTAAATTAATTGTTTTATTTTTATCCTTCCAAATACACATCTAAAGATTTAAAAATAACATAGGAAGTATACTTTTCCTAACAAGATAATTTTCTCACTGTATATCAAATCATAGGTAAGATTTGGTGGCTATTTTGCACATGTATTTCCATTTCATGTAAGAAACAATACTAAACTATTTTATGATGATAATTTGTAAGTAACTTGATACAGTTCTGTTAAAAAGTGGCTGTTTTGGTAACTTTTTATGGTTTGTAAAATCCTTTCAAATAGATTATCTCATTTAATCCTTAAAACAGTCTTGTATGGGTAGCTGGGGCAGATTTTATGGTCCCCATTTAATTGAGGAAACTGAAGTTAAAAGATTGAAGGACTGGACTAACCATCACTAGGCTAACAAATAAGAGACCATTCCAAATTTAAAGAGAAGCGATGTTAGGAACAATAAAGAAGGTTGAGAGTTCTATTTTAAAGATAGAATATTGCACCAACACCAAATAAAATTTTAAATGTATATGTTTTATTATTGAAATAAAGGCTAACTTGATTAGCAAAGCTAGTGAAGTTTGGAATAGTATGATAAAACTTATATTGTAGCTTGTGCTCAACTTTGTAGAAGATGTAAAAATTATAAGCATTGATTCTGTTTCCTGTAGCTGAGAATGGTAATTTCTTTATTTTTTTTTTAAATTAAATTTTTATTGATTTCAGAAAGGGAGCAGAAGAAACATCAATAATGAAAGAGAATCATTGATCAGTTGCCTCTTGCACCCCCCCTACTGGGGATTGAGTCCACAACCCGGTCATGTGCCCTGACCTGGAATCGAATCCTGACCTCCTGGTTCATGGGTCGATTCTCAGCCAGTGAGCTGGCTGGGCTCATTTCTACTGTTGGGTCATCCCAATAAAGTATTTTGGTTACAAGGCAGTAATTACTTGCTTGCCTTTCTTGCTTCATTTTCTGACCTGCTCTCCTTGTTCATAAAACATAAATTATTAATGAACTTATTAACATATAATTGTAATTTTAAAAGTAATATAGGAAAATGTGGAAAATAAAATTATTCACTTAAGAATGGATTAAAAGTA